ATCGTACTTACTTGCTTAGTTGTCCAAGTATGATGGCCTTCCTAGTGTAGTGTCTCAGCGGTGGATATGTAGATGACTGTGGAGCCCTATACTTGATCCGCATGCTCTTCCACAGTGAGGACATCTGTTTCCAGGTGGAAGGTAGTCCCAGTCATTGTGGCTTGACGCACCTTCTCCTTGGCACATTTCTCCCTTTCACCTTCCATTCATGCCTCAAATTCCACAGCACTTCTGACCTCCAGTTACAGCGCTCAAGGCCAAGGCTTCCCAGTTCTCGGTGTCTATTACACCGAGAACTGTGTTTAAGGTTAGCTTTAAGCCCATCTTTGAATCTCTTTTCCTGTCCACCAACATTCTGTTTTCCATTCTTGAGTAGCAACAGCTTTGGGACACAGTAATTGAGCATGTGGACAACATGGCCAGTCCAGTGGAGTTGATGGCGTAGGAGCATCACTTCAAGTGCTGTAAGTCTTTGCTTCTTCCGGCACACTGACATTTGTCTACCTGTCTTCCCAAGAGATTTGCTGAATTTTTCGAAGGCAATGCTGATGGAATCATTCTAGGAGCTGAGTGTGATTTCTGTAGACACTCCACATTTTGCAGACATATAGCAGGGTTAGGAGGACAAGGGCATTATAAACAAGCACCTTGGTATCCTTACGGATGTCCTGATCCTCAAACAATCTCTGCTTCATTCAAAAAAAATGCTGCACTTGCAGAGCTCAGATGGTGTTGTATTTCAGTGTCAATGTTGACTTTTGTGGAGAGGTGGCTACCAAGATAGCAGAAATAGTCAACATTTTCTAATGTTACACTATTAAGCTGTATTTCTGGCATTGGAGAGGGACTGGCTGGTGACTGCTGAAAGAGCACTTTGGGGTGTTTTTTTTTGATGTTCAATGAGAGGCCGAGCTTTTCGTATGCTTCTGCAAAGGTGTTTAGAGTGGCTTGTAGGTCTTCTTCTGAATGCACACAGACTATATTATCATCAGCATATTGGAGTTCTATAGCAGATGTTGTTGTGACCTTGGTTTTGGCTTTCAGTCTGCTGAGGTTAAAGAGCTTGCCATCTGTTTGATAGATGAGTTTCACTTCAGTGGGAAGCTACCCATCAACAAGATGTAGTATCCTAGCAAGCATATGTGGGAGATGAAAGCCAATGAAAGAATATCCTTTACTAGAGTATGAAATAAACCAACATATATGAACACAATGCCCTCTTTTTCATTTAGTTTTAAGAAACTCTCATGCTTAGGTTAAGATCGCAACCATGAAATGGCCATCCTATTTTATCAAAAGTTTTTGGTGACTATAAAGTGGGGCATTTTTGGATGTTTGAAACATTGGCAGATCCATAACTGTATTGCTTAGAAAGCGGATACAATAATAAGTGAATTCCTACATTAAAATGCATATAGTACATGAAATTTATATTTTTACAGTATTTATATTCTGCCCTTCTCACCACGAAGGGGACTTGGGATGGATCACAATGCACACATGCAGGGCAAACATTCAATACTGTTTTTAGATATACAAGAAAGAGATATTTCCAGCATTTTCCAACTTCGGCGCCTGGAGATCATGCTCAATTTCAGCCACATGGGGGTGCTGTTGCTTCATCCACTATGACACTGAGCCCTTTTGATCATAGTATTTCCTCCTTGTTCTTTTATCGCTGGCATTTTTATGGTGTCATAAAATGCCTTCCTACGTCAAGAGGTGCCTAATTTCTCTACTCACAGCTCAGCTGTTTTCGAACTGCTTAGGTGGAGAGTAAGCCAGGCTTAGCAGTCGGGTGCTCAATCCGACTTGGGCTTCAAATTTGCCACTTCCGGACAGCAGTGATCTATTGCTGCTGGCAATTAACCAGCTGTGCTACATCCCAGCCCCATTTCTTTGGTAAATCAATTATATTATAGTCACTTTCCCAAATCGCTCACCATAAAAAGCAGTCACGGTTTCAAGAGTCATTGGAGGAGATGGACACTATTGTGATGCACCTTTAAAATTTGGGAATGTTAAGTAAAAAATAAGAGCATGTTAAACTTGTCATTCAATGTATAGCTTTTAAAATAGAAATATGTGTTCAGTAATTGTGCTTCAGTGCTGGAAGTCATAGCTCTCTTCTGTAAGCACTGCATACTCCTACTAATTCTTTTATGGTCTGAATAGCTTCCAAAATAACCTGTTAGTTGTGACCCCATCCTATGCAAACATACTTTCTGTCTGTGCAAGTTCAAATTAAACAACGAACCTATTGTATTCCATTGTGTTGTATCTAGCTCTCTTTGTATAAATATTTGGGGAATTCTGAATGCTTCACTTGTAGACATTTGCAAACATTGTCTTCTTTGCCAGACCATGTTATTAATTATGTATATGTCTGAGAGAATTTGTATACTTCATTTCTAAGCTGCTATGATATCACTTTGTCTATTATAAATGTAATTGCTTTAGTCCATATAGCCTTATGTCCTTTCTCTCTGATCATTCTAGGAGAAGGTTATTAATGTGGCATTATAAGGAAACCATTCTGAACACAGTTTCCTGGAAACAACCCTTCCTGAACTCAGTAGGATTGACATTTGGGTAGTCATATTGTAAATCTCTCTTCACCTCACAATCCTATGCATGTTTACTTTAAATACTTGGAATAAGCCACAATGAATTCAATTGGCTGTACTCCCCTGTACATATGCAATAGTGTCCATCTCCTCCAATGACTCTTGAAACTGTGACTGCTTTTTTAAGAAACGGTTTGGAAAAGTGACTATAATATAATTGATTTACCAAAGAAATGGGGCCGGACTGTAGCACAGCTGGTTAATCAGCAGCAGCAGTAGAACCTTAAGACTTAAATTTCCTTTATGTCCCACTGAAATCAATGTGAAACATTACTTACAACTATGCAGTTGATATAGGTAGAAACTCTGTTCAGCTAAGTGTAAATCCTTTCTATTATGTTGATGGTGATGTAGGATCAAATACATTAGAAGATATGCTTAAGAGGTTTTCTTTAACATGTGTCCCATGCTGAGGCATTGTGATATGCTTGGCTTGTAGTTCACAACCTATTAATAATAAGTATGTCTTCACTTGGCAGCATGCATCATCCCAGTAAGTCATTATATTGGAGGCTCCATGTAGCATCTATGTCTCCATGTCAGCAAGTCAGGAACAAGCTTTCCCTGCCAAGACCACCGCTGGTGGTTTTTCCAGATTTTTTTGCCATCATTACAAATTAAGACTTTGAAAATGAAGGAAGCAAAATATATTTCTTATAATGTTAAAATGGATGTACATAGTATTGAGAAAATAAGAAAAATCTCATTTTATCTGGGCAAGTGAGAAAATTGTACTACCTAATGAGGTGAGCTAAAGAATGAAGACTTTGCTGTCTCTGGCTTCAGCTAAGGTTTTTACAGTCTGCAGCACTGGGCAGGTTTTTAATTATTTAGAAATCAGCAGGGCTTGAATGTATATGACCACCCACTCATTTCTGAAAGAGGAATCCTTCATCTGTCAGGTTTCTTTCATGTATTTTTTTCCGGTTTGTGGGGAGAAAAAAACGTGAACGACATATTGGTCTGAAACAGGGTAAAGTTTAATTAGAGCCTTATGTTCCTGTGGGCTTTTTCTATATTTGCATCATCTCTACAGAAGCATTTAACATATGCCATCTGGAAATAGAATTCCCTTCTTCCTGTGCATTGCCTACTCAGTTTCCCTAATAAATATGATTGCTCTTACCATGGTGCATTCCATTTGCACAGAGTTTCTACACCAGTGGTTCCCAACCTGTGGTCCGTGAACCACCAGTGGTCCTCAGAAACAAAAATATGGTCCGCAGCCTCACAATTACTACACCGTTGCCTCGAAACCACGCAACAATGAGAGTGACTGGTCTCGCAAAACCCTCTTTTAGTGCCGAGGAAACTGGATTTTGGGGGGGGGGGAGGCTGACTACCCACAAAGGATTACTACTACCACATCACCTCTAGATTATTAAATATCATTTTCTGTGGGCAAGCAGATGGCGACTACTGGATGACATATGTTCTGTATCAAAACTAGAGCTGATGTGGTCTATCCAGTGCTATTTTCTGAATCAGCACCCCAAATTTAAAAAAACCTAAAGTTGCCCAAAAACTTATTTGTAACCTTTTTGGTACTAATGTTGAAGTGTGGTCCCTGGTCAAGTGGGTCCTGATCAAGTTGTCCCTGGTCAAAAAAGGTTGGAAACCACTGTTCTACACACTACTATCAACTGCTACTGGAAGCATGAAGTTCTATTGCAGAGATCTAGAACAGGCATGGATCCTCTAGGTGTTTAGGACTTCAACTCCCACAATTCCCAAGAGCCTACCAGATCTTTGACTAATGTTGCAATAAACTGAACCACTACTAGAGCAGGGATCCTCAAACTTTTTAAACAAAGGGCCAGGTCACAGTCCCTCAAACTGTTGGAGGGCCGGATTTTAAAAAAAATAATGAATTCCTATACACACTGGATATATCTTATTTGTACTGCAAAAATCACTTAAAAACAATACAATAATTAAAATGAACAATTTAACAAATATAGACTTATTAGTATTTCAATGGGCAGTGTGGTCCTGCTTTTGGCTGATGAGGTAGGATTGTTGTTGTTGTGTGCTTTCAAGTCATTTCAGACTTAGGTTGACCCTGAGTGAGGGCTGGGTAAATGACCTTGGAGGGCTGTATCCAGTCCATGGGCCTTAGTTTGGGGACCCCTGCCTTAGAGGATCTGGGTTTTATGCGTGTACATGCATTAAAAACATGCATCTTCTGGGCACTGCATGAGATTACCTATTACAGAAGTGCAGTCACAGATCTTGCTAGAGAAATGACCAAGTGGAATCCCTTAATGCCAGCATTTGATTCAAGAGGGGAAATATTTCTCCAGGCTCAGAGAGCTTAGCCCATGTGCCTGTTGGAAGTCTAATCGCTTGGTGACATAACATGAGTCAGTGAATGCCCAGTTCAGTGGAACATGCTTCTGTGCTACAGCATTCAGAAAACTAAGATATCTACCTTATTTACCTTTCTCCACAAGTGAGCAAATTGCAAGGTAATCTTTTCCTTTATTCATCTTAAGCAAGCTGTCTATAATATATTAACAAAAAGCCAGCAAGATGATCTTAACTTTGGCAGGAAAGCAAAACATGGCAGAGTTTGAGAAAGATGAGATTCTATTCTTCTGTTTCTCTGTTTGGAACTATTGAAAGTAACCCAGGTCCTGACATTGACTGCTATATTTTCTTCTGCCATTATGTGGAATTGCAGTGTGTTGTGTTCACATTTTGCAATTTTGGACTGATATCACTGGTTTTGCACCTGGAGAAGTGTTTATTGTTTGGAGATTCTGCTGGGCTAAAGTTCTCGTCCGCATTGATTTCTGTCCCTCTTCCCATCTTTTTTTTTTCCTTTTCCTTATGACTGATTTTTTTAAAAAAAGAATGAATTGTGACTCATCTGTCAAAAGCTGTTCTTGAAGTTTTCCTAGAATTTGCTAAATTATAACAGGGAAACGTTACCATTATATAAGAAGAAAACATATATACCGTATTTCTTCATGGGGGAAAGGCATCAGTAAATAAAAGACACTGAAATGTGAACACATCTACCCTGATTATAATTCGTCTTCTGCAGCTGAGGAGCCAAAGGTCTAGAATAACAATTTGGAAATGAAAGAATGTATTGTAAATTACTTACAGAGGAACTAGCAAAAGCATCAGGATTATGGTATATTTTAAAGTGTGTGCTACTGTTGATGTCAGTTTAGGAACAGCTTAAGATTTCAGTGTTAGAGACTGAGTATATAGTATAACTATATCACCCTTTTCCATGTCCAACATGTGATTTTTTTTTGGACTGGCCATATATCTTTGCTGGATGAACAATTTATGTATTTTATCACGCTATCTGTATCAGTCTTTATATATCATAAGCTAATCTTTGGATAATCTCCAAGTTTTTCTATCATCTAGTGAGGCAGTTGGTAGTCAGTGAAAGTCTCCCTATCTCTAGTATTTCTTTTATTTAAAAATCTCACTTTACAGAAGTTCTTCTGAGGCTGGGACAATGTGTGTTTTCTTAGGAGTTGTTTCCCTCTCTCTCCAAAGCTTGGTACTTGAAGGAGAGTTTCACACCTTGTCAACAGCCACTGAGAAAGGTATATCTGTGTCCTAAGATGAACCTGTCACAGTTCAGAGGGGTTTGCCTTCACCTTCCTGTTACTATTTCAGGCCACTGGTTTTTGCTTGTTGTTTTTATACTGTGTTATATATCTGGTTGTTTTATATTGTTTTATGATGTTGTTATTGAATTTTAATGTGCTATTTTAATTATGCTGTAAGCCGCCTGAGTTCCTTCAGGGAGATGGAGGCAGGGTACAAAAATAAAGTAGTAGTAGTAGTAGTAGTAGTTGTTGTTGTTACTATTATTACCTGTGAAGGTATGACTTGCCTAAATGGGTTGTCGAACCCTAGTTTCCAGAGTCCTAGTCCTAGCTCAGTCCACGACACCACTCTGGTCTTTTATATTTTATCCTTTTATATTTTATCACTCTATCTAGAACCATCTTTATATATCTTGAGGCCATATAATAAACATTTTTAAATTTAAGCAATATTATTTGAGCTTGGTATTTTATCCCATTTTTTTTAAAACCTGTCCTGAAAGCAGGAAGAACAACCAATAATTATGCATAAATACATAATAATATCTTACTTGTATCCATGTGTGTTTGAAACTTGTGTTAGTTTTTCAAATTTGCAGTCATTTTCAAGGTGCAATTATCAGTCAAAATTATAACCTGCCAACTTTCTTCCCCAGGGGCTGCTGGTGAAAAATAGCTTTTTTCCATACAAAAATCTGATGAAGAGCCAAGACTTCTGAAAAGACCAGTGCGCTGATCCACATCTCCATCCATCCCCCAAAGTCTTACTGTAAGTGTGTCCAAAAAATCAAGATTTTTCATTCCACAAATGCTAAAGCTCATTACAATTGATTGGATTAAACTTGGGGAAGATATTATTAAAGTTAAAAATAGCAAGATATAGAAGGACAAATCCAGCTGAAAAATAATTAGCATGGTTTCGGTCTGCCTAATGTTTTAGAGTTCCTTTAGAATACCAATGAACAGGGATGAACCAGTAGACTTTGGATGCAAAGCTTCTGACAAAGTTCCTCACTGAAGCTTCTTGAGAAAACTTAGTAGTAGTCATTTATTTATTCATTTTGTGTCAAAAGCATTGCAAAAAATAGTTTATCTAAAAGTGATAAAATCACAAGCTGCTAGATAGTTTGAGACCAAAAATGGGCAATAGCAACTGCATTGTCTGTAGCTTTAAACAATTCTTCCTCTGTGCATGAGGCAGGGCATTGTGGGCAAGCATACAGATGCTGAGTTGTTTGTTCAGCAGTCACATAAGTAGTAGTCATGGTATAAGATATTTTTTTCCTGGGTTTTTTAACTAGTCAAAAAGCAGAAGCTAAAGAGTTGGAATAAATACTCAGTTCTCGTGATAGAACAATAGAGGACTTCACCAAGAAGTTATACTGACACTAGTATTTTCCTAATTTGTTCATAAATGGAACTAGGCTAAGCAGTGTGAGGCCAAATGGGAGGACAACTCTAAATCATGGAGTGGGGAGGAGTTGCTGAGAAAATATTCCTTGCTATGCGAGTTGTGTTCATGCATTTATAGTCTGTTTGTGGGTTTCCCACGGGGTTTCCACTGTGTAAATAGAATGCTATTCTAGAATTACCCTTTTTATGTTTATAGTACTCTTTTAATTTCATAACACACGGCTTGGCAGTATTGAGTGTGAAAAAGGTTCTGGTTGCCTACAAGCTAAACATGAGCCAGGAATGCTAGGCTCCATCAGATGACAAGATATAATTGTACTGCTCTGTTCTACTTTGGTCAGACCTTATCTGTAGCAAATTCTGGGCATTGTCGTTTGTGTTATTCATAGTAAGGGTAAAGGTTTTCCCTTGACATTAAGTCTAGTTGTGTCTGACCCTGGAGGGTGCTCATCTACAATTCCTAAGCCGAAGAGTCAGCGTTGTCCGTAGACGCTTCCAAGGTCATGTGGTCGGCATGACTGCATGGAGCACCGTTACCTTCCTACCAAAGCAGTACCTATTGATCTAGTCACATTTGCATGTTTTCAAACTGCTAGGTTGGCAGAAGCCGGGGCTAACAGTGGGAGCTCCTCCAACTCCCCAGATTCCCTTCAGTCAACCCTTCAGTCAGTAAGTTCAGCAGCTCAGTGATTTAACCCACTGTGCCATCAGGGGCTCCATGTTATTCACACACAATAACATATTTATCGGAGAGTAATGATGATGTTACTGGTAATAGACCTACAACCAAATCCTACAAGGAAAGGCTGAAGGAGTTGTGTAAGTATACACTGGAAAAGAGAGGATTATGGAATTATTGGATTAATATATTCAAAGGTTTGAAAACTTCTCCAAGAGCAAATGTGCAAATATGTTTTCTTGATGATGTCACCATATGCCCCAAACAAATCCACTTGATTTCTAAATTCACTTAATGTATTTACGCAAGGGAAAATCCCCCTGAAAATACCATGCCATGAACTGATATTTTCGTTGGCGGTTCCCCCCCCCCCTTTTCTTTTATATTAAAGACCTCTGAATAGCTTTTGTAAGCAGAATAAAGAAGGGTGTGGTTTTCCTTGCGTCCTCTTCTGATTGGGGATACCTTCTGGACCAGATTTAGGAGTAAAAAGCCCTTAGAGGGAAAGAGGAGGGAGGATCCTGTTGAGTGAAAGGCATTTCATAACCTACAGGCTTCCATAACATTAGATTTCACTTACGAGCAGCTGCACACATATAAATAGCAATTTCATAGTGCTTTTGTTAATATTGAACTGTAGATTGCGCACCATCTGTCATCAATGATTGTGTTGGCTAGGGCTTATGGGAAATGCAGCCCAACAATATCGAGAGGAAGTACAACCCACATCTCTGTCTAATTGAACTGATTCAATTTGAACCTTGCTCCCTCTTTTTCAACACTTTGGGATCTAAATGTTGTTAATTTTATGAACCAAAGATATAATTGAATGGTGTTGGTGATAGTGGTGGTGATGGTGATGGCGATGATGATGATGATGATGATGATGATGATGATGATGATGGTCATGGTGATATCCACAGTGGAAAAAATAAAAAGGATTTCTTCATTCATTTATTTTATCTTAGTGCAATAATAACTTCATTTGTCTTTTAATGGAAATAGTTTTGACAAGTAGACATGAGCTCATGGTGTGCATATTCATCATATGCCTCTGAATATTTTAACCTGTTTTGTTGGGCATGTCCCTTTGTAAACCGCCCCGGGTCCCTTCGGGGAGATGAGGTGGGGTATAAAATAAAGTTGTTGTTGTTATATTGTCTGCTTTCAGGTGTGACGTTTGGAAGAAATCTTTTTTCTGAAGAAAAGCTTTTGTGTATATAGTGTATGTATGTGTATGTATAAGTGTGTGTGTGTGTGTGTGTGTGTGTGAAGACAGTTAAAAAAACTGCTCACTAATTCTTCAGATTCATTTACAGTACAGCCTGATAGATTTCTATATAGACATGAGTCCCACTGGGTTCAGTGGAACTTCTAGGGAACTGGCTCACAGCTGGGCACAATCCTCCTGCTGGTTAGTCTGATAGAATATCTGAAGTTAAATCCAAAGCCTTGCTAGGCTTATGCTGACTGGATGGATGTTATGGAGGACTAGCATCATATTCCTTTCCCATCCACTTTATTTTTCATTTTCTTGAATTCCTTCCCAAATATTAGCCCTTAAGTTGGTATATATTTACTATAGGTCCAGGGGTATTTGTGGGGAAAAGAAACCTTTGCTTCCACCAGTGCTGGAGATTAGATGTCTACATAGGTAAGCATTATGGAAATTACTGTTGTGACTGGAGGGTTTGGAAATTGATTGTATCTCTTTAAAGCTGGACATCTTTTCCCAACCCAGGTTTTTCTAGATTGCTCTCAAAAATGAGAATTCTCACAATTTATCTCTTTAGCTGTTGTTGCCATCTTTATATTTACTTGTTCCATTCTTTTGGGGACACTCTTTGTAAAAAGCCTTGCATTTATGGGAACACACAAACCACCTACACGTATGCTCTCCCTAGTTGAATTAGCTTCACTTGTTCTTACCACATTATCGCAACAGGGCTTTAAACAGGCAGCTCTGCATTTCTGCTGCCTGCAGAATTCTGGGAAGTGTAGTTTGGGAAGGTGAGGACCTCTGTAGCTGAGAATTCAAAAGGCTCTTCCCTAAACTACATTTCCCAGAATTATGCAGGTGGCAGAAATGCAGGGCTTCCCATTTTAAAGCCCTGGTGTGATAACGTCATCAGTCTGTTTCTGGACAAAATTTGAAGTGGTGGTTGTTTTCTACTTAGCTCTCTATGACTTAGATCCAGGTTATCCAAAGAACCATATCTTTCTATCTGATACCCATTACACACTGGGGCTCAGGACACTGTGGGAATCATTGTACAGGGGGAACTCTCACTGTGTAACAGGACAGCATGTAAGGCGTCTTTGCCATTTACTAGAAGGGCTGAGTGTCCTGTCAAAAATGCAGTTACAATATCATAAAGTTACAAATCCTAGCCCTTGCTGCAGGATCTCATAGTGTTACAATGCAAAAGTATCATTTCACCAACACACTATAGCATGATGTATGCCAATAAATAAATAAATAAAAAGAGAGGAAAAAGGTGAGGAGGAGGATACTTTTTTTCTTGGAGTTAACAGGAAACCCACTTGAGGTGAGAAGAACATTTTGCAGATTGTGGTGGCAATGGTCAAAAAATAATCATGGATAACAGAAACATTGGCTGGTTATTTTTTTATTAAAAAAATCAAGAGCTATAGCAACAAATGCTGCAACCTTCTGACACAGTTACACTATGCGTAGCAGTGCAATGGCAAAACAGAAATGTTTTCCCAGAGATCACAGGACTAAAGTCTAAGTGTTGGTGAAACTTTTTAAAATGTGCTCTTGAGTAAAATGTGTTGAGGTCCTGAAATGGCTTGCTGCCTTCAAATAATTTCAAAAATAATGGTCTGGAGAGGTACAGTAGAGTTTTTATTTCAGTTTTATAGGGGAGAGGGGACAGTAAAAAAAACCTCTCTAATAAAAAGTTTCCCCTCAACAATGCTATGTAAAATATTGATTATATTGGCTTGATCCCTAACCCCTTTTCTATGTATTCTTGTTCATACTTGAGAAATACAGCTTTTCCCGCTTTTCTTTTCTGCTATTGGGAATTGTGGGATACTGGTGAGGAGGGGAAAACCACATATAGACATGGAAATTGGAAATCCTCTTTGCATAAATGGAAACGACATTTTGGAAACTCTCCTCTGACATCAGGAGGGGCAGGACTGACTCCATAGGATCTAGTAGTTCTCCCTATCCACTTTTGGATTCCTTCTTTGCACAGCAGCAGAATTCTAAATCAACTCTACTTTTATACTAATGATAACAGTAAGGGCATAAAAGAGACATTATAGAGGCCTTTTAAGATTAAATTGGTGAACATTTAAGTTCTGTTGAATCCAAAAAAAAAACCTTCCTTCCATGGACTCAGCTAGATTGGAGTAGACACACTAGTTGTAGTGCTGGCATACTCATTTTGTTTCCCATAAAGCTAAAACAAGAGGGATTTTTAAACCAATCAACAAAGAAAAATGTTCTCCTGGCTTACCACCATACGGTTGGCCATTCATATCCACAAATTCAGTACCCACAAATTCAAATATTCATGGCTTGCAATTACCTCCCTTTCAAAATTCTTTCTTTTTTGCCATTTTATATGAGTAATGCCATTTTACTACACCACTGTATGTAATAGTATTTGAGCACCCATGATATTCACGAGGGATGGACCTGG